TGGACAAGCACGCCCAGCGGGCGATGGACTAGTGCGCGCGCACAGCGCCACATATAACTACAGTTTGCGGGTATCAAGTATTCGACTACCCGGTGGCGTTGATTGACTCCAAAGAGGTCTGGTCGATTACTTATGAATCTTCCACTGTAGTACGGAGTACTAGTATCTTCTGTTTAGGCACAGGCCCGCATATCATGTCAGGCCGAAGCGAAGGGACTGAAGTTGACCCAGGAGTAGGCTTTTTTTTTTTTTTTTTTTTTTTGTTTCTGTACCGCGTTCATCAGCTACCTACCTACTTAAGTACCCTACTACTTGACCCATCCGGGGGCCCCGGAGGTGTCTACTCGTAGTGGCCATAGTATACGATACGATGTAGTTTACCGAGATTGGAGGTAGTACTCTCCCAGTCACCCTGTCGAGTGAGATACAAAAGACCAGTGGAAAGTATAATCTTTACTACACAGTAAGAAATATACCCTAGAGTGGAAATAGTCCTCATACACGGGGCTATCGGGACGATACTAAGGGGGCGATAAATCATTCATGGGGATGATGCTTACAGGCGGGTCGTGCTATTCGCGCTGCCAACCCTAGCTATTCGTGCTACTACCGCTCGATTTGGCCTAGTGGCTAACTGCCCACACCCCACCTTACATTTTCGCATACACCCACATGGTCACGCCCGCCTTTTAAAAATTTAATTGGTATTTAATTTAAATCTATTTTTTTTTTTTAAGACACGAGCGCTGCTAGGGCTTAAATCGCTTAAAAACGCGATTTCCGGTGTTTTTTGATGAATGTGTACACATTCACGGGCCGTTGATTATTCCGCTGCCGCCGTGCGGCGTGGGCGCTGCCCGGGCTCCCAAGGGGTCATCCACTGTGTTTGAGGGATAATTCCCTTAATTTCCGGCGACCCTGATACTGCTGCTTGCTTTGTAGCCTGTTTACCTGCTGGTCGAGTTTATGTGTGATTTACAGCGTTTCTTGACCGCCCACGCGACCGTATTATGAGTCTTCTTCGTCGTTGCGTCTTGAATCGTATTTTCGTGATAACTAAATCCCTTATTACCAGGGTAATGTATGTGAAATTATATGGCGGGGCGTGGTAGGTCAGGGTGTAGGCCCAAAATTAAGGTGGGGCATTAGCACGAATAGCTACTTAAGTAGGGTTGGTAGCACGAATAGCACGACTCCAGGCAGGCCGCTTGATGTTTTCCTAAACGGGGAGCGTGTCGTTGGCCCGTCTTGGTGGCTGGTTCGTCGGGAAGATCACATACTACGTGATGCTGCTGAGGGCTTGCAATTGGCAATCAAATATAGATTCGGAGACTCGCTATTATACGTCTATACTCCAAGTCCCGTGCGCGCGCACATATTCAAGACATTAGCTCCGCCATAAAAAGGTCATTATCCATTTCTCATCGCTTCCGTAGTGATCTTTCTCCCACGGTTACACTGTTCTGCCCAGTAGAGAGGGTTGGTTCATCCCTGCCCATCATTCTATTCATCAATGCGGCCTTGACCTGCTGTGCTTCTGGATCCGCATACTGCAGCTGTGTAGAGGGGGGCTGGGTGTCTTGTTTGTCCATGTCGTCGTCGTCGTCATCGGTGACGGCAGCGACGGTAGCCCTCAGACTATCTGTTAGTTGGCGAGGGGGCGGTCCGCTGCCGTCTATGCTTGCTGCGCTGCTGCCGTTGGAGGCATTGCTGATGGCGCGGCCGAGGAGCTGACGACGGCGAGGGCGGGGAGGGCCTTGGGCATGGGAGGTGCCATCAACGGGGGATGGGACGGCAGCTGAGTCGATGAGGCTGGATAGTTTGGTTGAGAGTGCCTGTCGCTCGGCGGCCCGGGCTTGCTGTTTGGCTGCTCGTTCCTGGTCTTGATGTGCGGTAGTTTCGTGGCTATTTCGTCGGTATAAAGGGTCATGGTCATCTGGGGGCGGAGCAGATGGCCTGCGGGCAGATATGCTTGGTTTCGAGGTGAGGTCACTCGGGTACGGGTCCGACTTCGTACGAGGTATAGGGACTGTGTGCTTTGGTGGTGATGGGGACTTGTTGAGTCTCGCACAAGACACTTCCGCTAATGGTGCATCATGGTCCTTGGCGGACGTGTCGACCGCTTGGCTTCGTGCGGTGAAGAAGTCTGCTGAAGTTGTGGACTCGAGTCGAGGTATGCCCCTGGCAGGAGCTGGGATTTGGCGGGCAGCGCTCTGCTTCTCACCCGAGTCTTGTTCAAAGGCGCTGGTATCGAACCCGCTCATGATCTTTGGTCTGGATGAAGCTGGTCTTGTGGTGACATTCTTGGCGGCAGGGGGTGATTGTGTAGTGTTGTTGCCCTTTGCCTTTGGAGGCTGTGACTGACGTTTGATTTCTGTTGGCGCCGGAGCCGTCTGAGCTGAATATCGGTCTCGAATCTCTGAAAAGATATAGAGGCTCGGCGGCACCTTGAACCCAGTCGAAATGCATTCCCACAACCAATCTACCGACACAACGGGAACCCCCCACTCTAGTGCAAACTTCAGCTTCTCTTTGCGCATTGCCTTCAAAGACCTGCAAACCAAAACGTCGGTTGTCCGCCTAAACTCCTCTTCGAACTTGGCTCCTAACTGAGTAATACTTCGCGCAACTTGGTTTAGTTCCAACCCTGTAAAGGCTGCGCTGCACACGACGAGGCCTGAGAACGAAGGTATCGGGAATAGGGGGAACGGCCGGCCCAGTACGTGCTCGCTTGGAGAGAAGAATTGCTTGTTATGCAAGCATCTCTCAATGTAGAACTCGGTAACAATCTCTATGTTGTCATGGGGTACATTGGGGTGCGATTCAGGCTGTGATGTCTGAGGCACGACAAGAAAACGATGTGAGTGCTCTGTCGGGCGGTGGGTTGCCGCCTCTCGAAGTGACGAAGCCACGGAACCCCCCAGCGTAGCAATGGTATCTTCGAGCACAGTTTGCCGCTTCTCGCTGAATCCGTCAATGGCGAATACACAGTTTGCAAACACACCATTGTCATGCTGGGATGGGAGTTGGTGGTGCTGGTGGTGCTGGTGAGGCTGCTGAATAGTAGGTTCGGGAGTTGCTTGCTGGCGTGGCTGCTGCTCCGAATCGGCTTGCTCGTTACCAAACGAGTACTCTCTTGAGGCGGAGCGGCCTAGGATGTCGCCCCAGAGATTGTTCCTTTGTGAGTTGAGTTTCATGCTGGCGGTTTTGCGCAGCTTCCTCGCCCCTCTCTCAATGGCACCATTCGTGTTTGACGAAGCCGACCTGGATCTTTTGCCAAGTGATGCGCGCCTCGGGTCCTCTTTGTTCCAAGCACCGACGCCTTGCTCCTCGACTGGGAGCAACGGATCGAACTTGGCTTCCTCCAGAATGAGTCCACGCTGTATACTTTGGTCCAGCCAGCCGAGTGTGACCGTGTACACCCCCCAAGACTTGGCTGCGGTGAACTTCTTGCCTTCAGGCTTGCTGACCACAAGATGAGTACATCTTCTCGTCAAGTCGGCGGTATATTGCCCGCCATTGGCGGTAATCTTTGCGGCAATTTCGTCGCGCTGGTCTCCAAAGCCTGTCGAGCATATCAGCAGTGGTTGGCGACCAGTTGCCGCTCCCCCGTGCGGCGACGCCGTGTCTGTGCCACATTTCTCCAGCGCTTTGAGCCAGTGTTCGTTTTCCAGAGCCATGAAGTCAATCTCCTCGTCTTTTTTCCATAGTTCTGTGACGGCTTCTATCCACATGGCATCCATGGCTTTGATATCGGGTCGCTCGCGAGCAACATGGCGGTACTTTGGTGTATCATAGTCGCCGACGATGAGATGGGTCACGTCCGGGGTGAGATCGTATTTGTGAATGCCACCAAGCTCAGAGACCTTTTGAGCAATGTCTGTCTATATGTAGGGCGAAAAACAAGAGTGTCAGCAGCGCTGGTGGGCATCGTAGTCGGGCCTGTGTCGTTGAAGCAACAAATCAAACCTACTCTTTGGTCTGGCGGAATGCTCGTGCAGCACACAATGACATCCTTTAGCGGCTCTGACGGATCAATTGAATATCTCTCATCGTCTGCAGACCGCGAAGATTCCATAACGGCTTAGTGGCCGTATATGCGCCGGTGATGTATCGCGCCGAGGAAGGGAAGCGAAGGCCATTTGATGCCAGACTGGAGTGCTGCACCACGAGGTTTTGGTGTAGCTGAGGCGAAAGTGTGTCTGTGGATTGGTGGGACTGGACTGGACGCGTCGAGTTGGACCAGACCGCGTTTACACGGCGCTGTACGTAGTATGTCAACTACTTAAGTACCTACTTAAGTAGGTACTTACTGAATGTCACGAGGGTACGACACCTGCAGGCAGCGCTGTGTGGAGCACTCTTGGTACTCCCTCGCCCCTCTGCCACATGCATGGAGTATGGAGTACTACGTAGTCCACCAGACCTACCGTTGAGTACGGAGTACTCCGTACAGTACAATTATTCCATGCTTGCAATATTATTATACTGCCGCCGCCTCTTGCCGCGCCTTCAGCCACACTCACGACAACGGCCCAGAGGCGCCTGGCATCAATTCACATTCGACTTGACCCCACCATCGCATCACTCGCAGCTCGCAGCCTCGCTCGCCAGACTGAGCTCTCCATCCTCCCCTCCTCCTCTTCTTCCAAGTAATGTCTGCGCGTGTCTCGACGCAGTCTGCTAGGTGAACAGCTGAGCCACTCCTTGCTCTACTTGAGCGCCATCTACGGACCGAACACGGAGCAGGCCACACATCTACACGCATCGTCAGAGCCTAGCCACGCGCCCCAGTCTTCTCGTCCAGAGATCGCCCTCAAGGCTCACGCGAGGCTGCAATTCTCCATCGTCGACATCCACGGCCACGGACTCGGACTCGGACACCCGCCCTACACCCTGCTGTCTTCGCTCGCTGGCTACTTGCAACTCCCAGCCGGCCCACGCTGTGCTACACCATTCCGCCGGTGCGTGGTGACGCTTCGTCCTAAACTCCAAACGAGATGCCGCCCCCGTCGTCGGCACAGCAAAAAGTCCTGACTGCCCAGTTCCTGTCTCTCACAGGCGCTACCGAGCGGCAGGCTACCAAGGTATGTGTTGTGGCCAACGTCGAACCCGGGCTGCTCAAGGTCAAGGTCACCTCACCTCTCATTTGCCCCTCGCCCCTCCCCCGGCCCGATTGCGATGTGCGTTTGGAGGTGGTATTATTACGGGGATTTGGCCTTGATGCATCTGCATCTGCACCTGCTTCTAGGTGCCGCTGCCTCATCGCCGGAACTTCGTGAGGAACTTCGTGAGACGTTTGATAAAGATTGAGCTAATGGATGTGCTTGTGGTGCAGTTTTTGAAATCGACTGGCTACAAGATCAACGAGGCCGTTGATGCGTGAGTGAGCACCATCTCTTTGCATGCTTTTCCAACCCACCGGCGCTGGTCGAGCTACCCCAGGCTGCCCAAGCCTCCCCGCGTGACCTCCCCTCCCAATCCATGGTTCTGAAGTCTCCCTGCTGTCCGCCTTGTACTCTTAATTATCAATCTTTGCGCTTGGCCGGTTCGCCATGACATTCTCGGACCATACTGCACAATGTCCAGTCCGTCTGTACGTGCGGCCGCGTCAATCGTCGGTTGGGATAGAACCTTCCATTGATGTGGGTTATCAGTGGGGGTCCCACTAGCTAACGCAGCCCGTCACTGCCGACACACGACATAGTACGGCCGAGTGACGCCGATGGTTTTGAAACAAATGTCCAGCGCAGGTCTCGCCGTCTTGGTTTCTTTTCTTCCATCTCATCGCCAGTCTCCAATTTCGGGTTTCAGAGTTGGCGCTCCCCGCCTTGACCTACAGCTGCCACTGACACGGCATCACATGGACCCTGTCGAGGCTTTGCCAACTGTCCTCGCCCGACGTCTCCGCCTTCGCAGCCCGTCTTCCCTACGCCAGCGCGACCTTCTTGATCGCTGTTGAAAAATCTAGGGCATCGAAGTCTTGGGCTCTATCAATCCTTTAGTCGGGCCTGAACCCCCCCCCCTTCTGCTGGAGTCATGGGATGGAAAGATGTTAAGCGGCGTTTGCCTTCTAAGGCTGTCCCATTTTGGACTTCCTCCAAGACACCTGAGGGCGAAGATACTCATGAAGGCGCGAAATCTCGTGTGGATAAGGGGAAATTTTCACGGTAAAGGGATTTCTGAAGCCGCAGTTGGCATTTTCACCCTTGGCCAAGTTGGCCAGCCAATCATGCCAAGCGGCTGCTATTCGCTTTTCGCTCAGGAACGGCACCAAGGTGTAATGAGTTCCAAAAAAAAAGGGAGGGAGGGAAGGAAGGGAAAAGCTGACAGTTGTCTTGAAATTATTAGGTTCTATTCTTCCGGAAATGAGGTCAAAGGTCCGTCACCAACCGAATCCAAGCTCGACGCTCAGTTCGACACATTGCGAGGTAAACCATATATGTATGCTGAACCGTTTTCTGTTTACGCGATGCTTACATATTCGCAGATGAAAAGAACGATGAGAAGGACAAGATGGAACTCGAATCGACAATGGAATATTTGAGCAGCAAATTGAACATTAGTCTAGAGAATGCTGAACTTTTTGTCGCCTTAGAACTGCTCCAAGCGCCCAGCGTAGGCGAAATCACTCGTCGCGGCTATGTTGATGGATGGAAAGCAGCAGGGTACGAACCATTCCATGATGCTTTTTGCAAATCCCATCTCTGGCAATCCCGATAGCGCATCCATCACTAGAACAGAACTAATGATGCATTTCAGTGCCGGCACGACACATCAGGAACACGCCCTTCACATCCAGCGCCTTTCATCTGCGCTCTCGACAAACCCCGTGCTGTTTAAGAGGGTATACAAGTATACGTTTGTGGCTGGCCGCGAAGGTGACCAGAAAGCCCTTAGTCTAGAGAATGCCCTGATTTACTGGGGTATGCTATTTTCGCCCCCTGGTATGTTGTGGAAGAGCGAGAACCACGATTGGTTGGACCTGTGGAAGACCTTTCTCAACGAAAAGTGGACTCGATCAGTCAACAAAGACATGTGGAATATGACGTTGGAATTCGCTTTGAAGTCCGTGGCGGATGAGAGCTTGTCCTTCTGGAACGAGGACGGTGCCTGGCCTAGTGTAATCGATGACTTTGTCGAATGGTGCCGTGGCAAGGGTATTGGGAAGCAAGAAACAATGGACGTTGAAGCGGAGCAGTGATGGGCGACTGGCCCTTCATGGAAGCGAGGTCGTGCTGCCAACGGGTGAAAACTGCGCGGTCCAGAGATTTGGGTTCCTCGAGAATGAGGCCTCATATATATCACTACTAGAAAGCACCGTTTCGGTTTAGCGCAATGAGATGCGTCACTGAAATGAGTTATGATAGACATGTAACGAACAAATTATGAATATTGAAACGTAAGAAATCAATGAACAACCACTTGACCCTCATTTTCCTAATGTGATGTACGCTATGGGATTTCCTTATTTTATACACTGTTATGTTTGGTCCACATACATGTTATCCATTGCAAAACAAAATAAACAACAAGCCACACATCCAGAAGTTGTCCGTCTATGCTCTCCTTTCGTATTACCTGGTTGTATGTAGTTGTAAAAGTTGTCATTTCGGCCGGCCAATAACCAGGTTTCCAAATATCGTACATGCTTTCCAGCAAACAAAATGCAAAGAAGGCTTCTCTGCTCCCATTTTAAAAACATCCGCCACGCACGTCGTAATGCAGTTGTTCTTATCCACCCCTGTCCTTCTTCACGCCTCACTGCCCTGGGTCCTCCACTTTGGCTCCCCAAATCTCGACAAGGTGCTTAGCTTGCCATCGCCGAGCTTCACATGCGCCGAGCGGATCATGCGGGGCTCTAGGCGCAGCGTCGTCCGCACGTCCTGGTGAATCTTGGTTGACGAATCGTACCGCATGACAAAGTAGTGTCCGTGTGTGTGCTTCATTTGGTGCACCGAGATGGGCTTGGGGAGGGAGAAGATGCCCCAGTTGTCGAGGCCGCGGACGACGCCGCCATTTCGGAGGACGAGGGAGCCGACTGTCTGGGCGATTCTGAAGGGGTTTGTTAGCTGCTGGTCGGCGTTGCGCGGGTTGTGAGCTTTTTTTTTTGGTGTTGAAAACGTACTCCTTTACTTCGCCCAGGTTGCCTGGTCGGACCTGTGTGATTTAGTTAGGTTTGCGGCGAAGGGGGGGGACGGGATGGGAGGCGCACAATTGCTATTAGCTCGTATAGCATCTTGACGACCGCATCTATGCTTGGTCAAGGAGGAGTTGGTGACGGTTATGACGGTCTGTGGTGTTGGAGGGATCTCGAAATTTGGAGCAGGCGTGGCGGGCCGAGGATTTACCGGTGTATATATCGCGTGTCTCTCCCAAAGCGTCCTTAATAGACTGCCCTGCCTGCTCCTGCATACAAGCGTCGCTGGAATTAACAGTAAACTTGAAGTAGAAGAAGAAGAAAAGAAAAAGAGAAGACTCTTTTCTCCTGTCTCTTTTGAATAAAAACATTCATTGTGACTGCGAGAAGTAACGTTTCGTTTTCGCCTGCACACTAACTCAACGTCTGGGCCGTAGCTCTTGTCCTCAAGCTTGGCGCAGGGTGATGCTGTAACGGGCGTATTGTGACAAGACGCAACGTTGTGCCGTGCATTTAGAAATCTACATCGGAGTGATGTCTACTCGGGCTTTAAAGGCGCTATTGGTCTTTCCACCTCGGCTATTTTGTACCAGTCAAAGTCTTATGCTCAAAGAAGCTTGTGAAGCGGCCGAACATATGTCACGAACGTACAGAGCACGCGTCTGGATATGGATGGCCCCGCGTATGAATTAAGGAAGACCGAAGAATGGAGATACTGGAACTTGGGGCGGCATCTGAGGTGCCGCTTGGATCTCGCGTCAGGAGGAGATTGAGGGCGCCGTGGCATTTTCCTTGGGACTGGAATCTCGTAGCGGGAAATTCTGCACGAGTAATAATTATGAAGGAAACTCAGATATTTCAAAGCTTCCACTGGACAGTCTGACTTTGGAAACTCAGCCGCTAGTTGGAAGGAGGCAAGATTTAGAACGTTAAAAAAACGTCAACAACTCTGTTGCTGAAACCTGACAGCCCCTTTACTTTGCCAGTTGGTCTGAAGATAGTCTTTTGCCCTTGCAGGCACTTCATGTATCAACCACTCTTTGGTACAGCACTGCATGAGCGAGTCAGGGGTAGGAGCTGTAGCATTTGAACTTTTTCTCCCAGATTCAATTCAAGTCAATCGGGCTGGCCATCCTCCGATACGAGCCACCCGCACAAGGGTTATGATGAACCAAGCTTTCTGGCTTAGGCTGAGCATGTTAATCATTTTGATCTACTCTACTGACTGTTAGATGATGGGATCTCATTCCACAAAACAACCTGCCATTTCTCCTCTAATTGGTCAGGACATCAACGCCTGGAACCCTCTTCGTAGGCCGCGATGTACAAAATGCTCTTATAGTTGCCGAATCGGGACAGAGTACAGACGTGTGTGTGTGACACTTGCAGCATCGCCGTACAGCAAATGATCGACAAGTCTCTGCCTCACGACACTATTCAGTCAGACAGGTATCGGATTTTCTCCTTAAGACCCAGCTTTGAAGCGCCTCAGTAATCTTTGCTGCCCAGCCGACAAGTGCAAACCAGCACAGGCACCAGTGCAGTCTGGCCAATCCTGCCCATGATCAGGATAAAGAAAGGAGCCATGGATCTTTAGCCAGTTCGCTGGCTGTCGCCCTTTCCTCGGGAAGCCAACATAGCATTCGTTTCAAGAATTTCAGGAAGTGCTCTAGGTCCTCAGAATCAATACAGTCCGGCACTTCCTTTCTCAACTGACGATGGAACGGAATCAATGATTCATACAAGAACTTGCCTGAAGACTCATTAGCGGCCATCCAAGTCCCTCGGTATCGGACTCACTCACCATGGTCATCGAAAAAAGGGCCGCCGAAGTAACCCTCCGCGTTGTTACACAGGTCTCCTTTGGCGTTCGGGACATGTGGCCTCCAGCACCAGTGCCGCATGTCTCTTTGTCGTTGTACTAATGCCTGAGGTACGGGACCAATAAGTGCAATCATCTCCGCCAGATGGTGCGCGGCACTGTATTCTCTCCCGTCCAGGACGTTCTCAGGCCGGCCGAGAAATAGCTCCCGTCCACCGAGTAGGTCCCATAACTGCTGTGAATTAGCACGCACGCTCAATATTTCGATATTATTGGACCTACCATGACTCCGAAATTCCAAATATCGGCACTATATGACCAACCTGTTCCAAGCAGCACTTCAGGTGCGTGGCAGTGGTTGGGCTGTATTGGATGGAGGAGCGGTTCCCCGCCATCTCCTCGTTGTGCCAGTCCAAAATCTGCAATCTTGGGAACTATGTTCCGAAGGTGTTCCTCTTGAAGATCACCAAAGTCGTTATGGCAGAGATAAATAGCGTCCTCGCCAACGACCTTGCGAGGCATTGGATTTGTTGACTGACTTTCAACGAACCGCTCGAGGACTGAGGTATGTTCAAATGTCATGAGAATGTTGTCTAACTTAAGATCTAGAAGGTAATGATCAGTAGACTATAGTTGAAATGTGGGCTTATTGAAAGCTACCGGTATGAATAACGTGACGATCGGTATGCAAGTAGTCGAGAGCATATAACATGCCCCGAATATAAAGTTTGAACAGGGGGAGTGTTGAAGACGTGATCTTTCCGGCAGAAAGTCGACGCTTGAACAGCCACATTGGGTCTCGCATCGGCTCGAATACCAAGCAAACATGTTGCCCGTTAGGAGACTTAATGGAAAAATGATCTACAGCCGTTGCTAGCAAATGGTAACCCCTGTGCCTTTTGTTGCCGGACGCGAGGTGAGCGGACATTGCCAATTCTTTCGCAGCCTCACCGTCGCAATAGTTGTTCGTAGTTATTTTGACGGCGAAATATTTTTTCTTTCCAAACCAAGTACTTTCGGAATCTGAGTTAGTCATTGAGAAGTTCCGAGCGTATAAGGGCCTACTACTAACCGGCCCTTTTGAGCCAGCCATACCGTCGAGGAGGATCCCCAACCAACCTTCGCCTTGAGTTCATATGCACCTCCTATCCTGTCTCCGGGGTTGGGATGGAAAAAATTCCGGCGTTGATAGCCTGGAATCTGCTCTTCGTCGATGAGTTTATCCAAAGGCAGAGCCTTGGGGAGTGCTAAATTCCTGGTACATGGTTGGTACCGCAGCACACAGTTCCTGGCGGCGACTGAACGCATTTGAAATGAAATTACAATCCACAAAGACGTGCGCAGGCGAAGGAGAGGCTGTGAAGATCTGAGGATGAGTGTGTTTGGCTTTCAAACCAAGAAGCTGCGACGCGCAGGTGATAGGCAGAAGGTACTTGCAGCTCAATGCTCAACTGCTTTTGATGCTGAGAAACCACGTGATATACGGTAGTTAATTCGCTAAAAAAAAAGGGTAAGTTTACTTAAAAAGGTAAATAAAATAATTATATTAATTTATAATTTTAATATAACTTTTAATATATGCCCTCTATCTAGCACTGTTTTTTTTTAAGTTAAGTTGATAAGTTATTAACTTTTAAAATTAAAAAAAAAAATAAAATACATAATTCCTAGCTCCCCCTTTACCCATCTTTAATTATATAATTGAGCTTTGCTTCCCATGTAGTAAAGAAGTTGGTAAGTGCGCATTGTACCTCTAGGACACACTTGTTGGGCAGAGTCTCTCAAGGGTCTATTATTCCAATTTGTATCAAGAGAACATCCGGGTTCTACCTCATATAGTACAGTATCTTACACGTTTTTACATACAATTATAGCCTCTCAGATGACAATGACTGCCAGATCCTCCAAGGTAATCGCCATCCACCAGACTTCACGGCAAATGCGTCGAAATTGGCCTTTTCCAGGTTCTCCAAGTAGTGGGCAGCTGGTACGGCTTCCAGGAGCACCCCGAAACTTTGCCTGATCTCCTTGGCCGTGTCGCTCTCTCCCAGATAGACATGCTCAGCTTCTCCTTCGTGCTCAAACTCGTGCCCCGGGTCTTCACCGGCCTTGAGCCGCTTCAGCATCTCCCGAGCCGTAATTAGGTGGTCATTTGCACGAGTTGCGACTTTGAACACGGCATCTTGCAGCCCGGGTGCGTTTGGCCCTTGTCGAAAGACCTCCTCCTCCTTTACGCCTTCCTCGGCCATAATGTCCAGCGGCAGCAGCAGAGATGGCTCGCGAGTCGGAGGTGCATCGGCGCCAGTAGGAGTCTTGACTGGCCGCCCGGGAGCGGCCAAAACTGGAACTCCTCGCAGTACCGCAATAATGCCACAGGCTTTGCCAATATGGCTAGCCAAGTGATCGATGTGCATGGAGCGTAGGGGCATGGACGCCAACGTTGTATACATCATGGTCGAGTATGTGTTTTCGGCATAGTCTTCCAACGCTGCCAGACTGGGATACGGTCGGCCATCCATGTGCTTTTCTCTCGTCTTGACAAGTCGAGATAGCCAAAATTTTATTGACTTCTTGGTCGGACTGCCGGCTCGAGCTTCCAGTCCCTGAAGAGCTTGGTGAAGCAGAATGCAGATTGGTTCTCGAGGCGGCATTCCGGCGAAAGTCTTGTCTATAGACTCCTGCCAAAACTTCATGCGAAGAGCGCCAATGACTGGATTCGACACGACTTCGGGGAGGCGGACCAGCTCGAGGTTGAGCGCTCTAAGAGCCGCATAGGTGTCTCGGACCGGAGACGGTACAAACCGTCGGATTAGATGTGCATCGTAATCGCTTGTCCTGGGGAGAGAGCATCAGCTACAGAGAACCCCAACGTCGGGTCGAGGAAGCATGGCGCACATACTGGAGCTGCTTCAAGCAGTATGCCCTTGCGGATTCTACGTCGGCGTCTGTCACGTATCCGCGACAGTTTGGCCTGCCATGGGCAAACCTTCTCAGGCCAACGCGTATGGCTTGAGGGCGGCGCATAAAGGATAGCTGAGAAGATGGATGGTCAATGGCCCAGCTTGTGGTGAGGATACGGTGGTAAGTCCAAATATCTCACAGATCACAAGCCCACGGACCAATGAAGGGCATTGTATTAGCCATCAATTGCTTCAAGGATACGGAGTACAAGGATGGAGTAACTATGGCGATGGCCTCTAGCTGCCCCCCAAAAAAATTACAGTGGGGTGACGTAGTTTGACTACCCCCAGACAGTGGCCATTCCAGTTACGGAGGACTCCGTAAAAGCCGACAGAATTGCGGGCTGCCAAGTGCCGTGGATCCCCTGCGAATTTCCAAACGCGGTCACATGACCACTAGACACGCTTTGTCGCGCCTCCCGCAAGAGTGAAGATGCAGCGCGTCTGCCCACCAACCGATTCATCCCGCCTTGAAATTTGACCACATGTGCCGATCAATTCACTCCACGTGTGCTTGTTAACACCCGGGCATTGTCAATGAGTGTTCTTTATCATGGAGTCTGGAGCGTCGCAGGAGCCTCCACCCAAGAAACGGAGGTTCTTCAGAGACCCAGGTGAGAATTCGTCCGATCCTATACTGCTCAGCCCAGGACACAGTACTTCGCCTGTGCCAGCTAAGGAGTGCGTCACGGACCACGACGGCGCCAAGACGGAGCCAGATACGCGGGTCGCACTCGTTGAGCTTTCGGAAAATGGCACGGCCAATATAAAATCAGAGTCGTCTCAGCCGACTCCTGTGCATTTGGACGAGTCTACAACCTTGAGCTTCGACAAGGACATGTTCGAAAGTTTCATTGGTGACAAGGTCAGCAATGAAGTTCTCGACATCATTCGGAATGCTTGTGGCGACAATCTCGAAAGGGCTGTCAACATGTTCTTTGACGGCACGTACAAGAGGCTCCAGACCAAACAACAACCATTGTTTGGATTCATAAGCCAGCGGCTGGCCAGTTCCCGAACCGCCCAATCTGCGCCTATCGAGGAGCCTACAACAAGCCCAGCTCCCTCTCGAGGAACCTTTCCACGAAAACGATATCTAGGTGCGTTTGGTGTAGAAGGTTGGGCAACTCGAAGCGGAAGCAACATGCTAAAGCATGGGGATGTCGTCAAGATCGAGCGCCAGAAAAGTAAACCCCCGCTCCCGCCCAAAATCAAGAACAAACTTGGTGTTGTCAGCTCGCCCTCTCCAAAGCCTAAGACAGCGGCTTCGAGAATAGTCGATGTGATTGTTCGCTTTACCAATCAATCCGGAACAGAAATTGGTCGCTTGGACAAAGACGCGGCGAATTGGGTGTCGACATTGATTGATCAAGATGTGTGTCATTTTGAGGGAAACTGTGTATATGCACCTGAACGACTACGAACCAACGACACTGTGTATTTGCAGCTGAGATGTTCGCTGCTACGCTCTGCTTTCCAAGACCGCAGCTTTAAGCTTGCCGACGATCGACCTAGCAACATTTTTGAGCAAGGCGAAACCACGGATGAGAAAGAATTGCGCTTGCGTCAGGTCGCATTAGTAAGACTATTTCAAGAAATCAACTTGCAACCAACCCGGGCAAATTCAGCGGCCAAGGATGCAAGGAAGGAACTGCTTCAGGCTGCTGAGATGGACGAGCAGAAGCAACGTGAAGCTAAAAAGGCCGCGGTTCCTGGCAAGGAATCGGAGTCAGTGCCCAACTCATCAGATACTGAGGAGGGGGAGGAGCTTGAGCAAGATCAGTTGGATGCTTTGTATAAAAAGGCGCAGTGTTTCGATTTCAACACCCCTGAAGCCGAACCGGCTGACAGCTTCGCCATGACCTTGAGGCCGTACCAAAAGCAATCCCTGCACTGGATGATGGCAAAGGAAAAGGACGAGAGGAGCAATCGCGAGCCATCCATGCACCCTCTCTGGGAAGAGTACGAGTGGCCCACAAAGGATGTTGATGACAACCACTTGCCTGAAGTACAAGGAATATCAAAATTCTACGTCAATCCCTACTCTGGGGATTTATCGCTAGAATTTCCAGTCCAGGAACAGCATTGTCTTGGTGGAATACTTGCCGACGAGATGGGCCTGGGGAAGACAATTCAGATGCTTAGTCTAGTTCACTCTCATCGATCAGAAACGGCTCGGCAGGCTCGACTCACTAATGGTGGCATCTCGAGTGTCAATCAGCTGGCTCGGTTGGGGGCAAACTCATCCAGTTTTCTTCCAGCGCCATGCACAACATTGGTCGTTGCGCCAATGTCGCTTCTGGCGCAATGGAAAAGCGAGGCAGAAAAGGCCTCAAAGGAAGGCACAATGAAAATTGAGCTCTACTACGGCAATGAGAAGACAACTAATCTGCAAGCCCTGTGCAGCGAGTCGAATGCTTCCCAAGCACCCGACCTCGTCATCACCAGCTACGGCGTGGTGCTCTCTGAATTTAGCTCCGTGGCAGCCAAGAATGGTGATAAGTCATTCCACAACGGCTTGTTCTCGTTGAAATTTTTTCGAGTCATCCTTGACGAAGCCCACCATATCAAGAATCGATCTTCAAAAACCGCCCGAGCTTGTTATGAGATTTCGGCAGACCACAGATGGGTGCTGACGGGAACGCCAATAGTGAACAAGCTTGAAGACCTATTTAGCTTGGTGCGATTTCTTGGCGTGGAACCTTGGAACAACTTTTCTTTCTGGAAGACATTCATCACGGTGCCCTTTGAAGCGGGTGACTTTATGAGGGCGCTGGACGTCGTGCAAACAGTATTGGAGCCGTTGGTAATGCGCAGGACGAAGGATATGAAGACGCCAGACGGCCAGCCACTTGTGCCTCTACCATCCAAGCAGATCGATATTGTTGACGTCGAGTTGTCCAAGTCTGAGCGTGATGTATATGATCACATTTTTAACCAGGCAAGGCGGACGTTTTCTAAAAATGTCGAGGCGGGAACTGTTATGAGAGCATTCACCACTATTTATACGCAGATCTTACGACTGCGGCAATCGTGCTGCCACCCTATCCTCGTTCGAAATCGAGACATCGTGGCGGACGAGGTAGAAGCCGGTGCTGCTGCTGATGCAGCGACCGGCCTGGCTGACGACATGGATTTGGAAACTCTAGTGGCACACTTTACTGCAACGACTGATGAAGCAGCCAAAGACAATTTCACATATGGAGCAAACGCTCTTGAGGAAATTCGCAATGAGGCCGAAAAGGAATGTCCACTCTGCTTTGATGAGCCGATGAACGACCAGACAGTCACTGGCTGCTGGCATTCGGCATGCAGGAAATGCCTACTGGAATTCATGAAGCATGAAAGTGACCGTGGTGTTGTACCACGATGCTTCAACTGTCGCGAACCCCTCAACCAGAGGGATTTGTTCGAAGTTGTACGGCACGACGACGAAATCGACATGGTGTCCAAGCCCAGGATGAGCCTACAGCGGCTAGGTGTGAATCATTCATCGGCCAAAGTGGCAGCACTCATTTCCGAGTTACGCGTTCTACGTAAAGAGCGTCCACATATGAAGTCGGTGGTATTCTCCCAGTTCACTTCGTTCTTGTCACTCATCGAACCAGCCCTGGCCCGCATCAACGTCAAGTTCCTACGCCTCGACGGGTCCATGGCACAAAAAGCGCGAGCCGCGGTGCTGGAAGATTTCACCGAAAAGAAGGGCTTCATGGTCCTTCTCATCAGTCTGCGCGCTGGTGGAGTCGGCCTGAATCTCACCAGCGCAGGACGAGTGTTCATGATGGATCCGTGGTGGAGTTTTGCTGTAGAGGCGCAAGCCATTGATCGAGTACATAGACTCGGACAGGAGGATGAGGTGGTGATTAAGCGATTTATTGTAAAGCAGAGCGTGGAAGAGCGCATGTTGCGGGTGCAGGAACGGAAGAAATTTATGTAAGTTGCCCGCGGTTTGCGAAGCTCCAGATCTCTACGGGCACCCTCACTAACTAGGTATAAGTGCAACGTCTTTGGGAATGATGAGCGATGAGGAAAAGAAATTACAGCGCATTGAGGACATTAAGGTGCTTCTTAGCTGAGGTGACAACCGGTTTAGAATTGCATGGCACCGTGGAGGTATTTATATCATTGTAATTAATTGACGGCCCAAATCGGGTCAGTGTGATTCCATTACTGGCGCTTCATCTTGGCAATTTTTCTTTTTTCTTTGCTGGTTATGGGTTTTTGGGCTTGGTGTCCATGGTCATGAAATGGTTGGCGTTTGTATGCTCTACTTTTTGGTCACGACTGGCCCGTTCATGAAGAAGGACTATCCAATTCATATCGCTCCGTGTCTAGATATTGGCAAAACTCTCCTTGGGGGGGTATTATATGTTCTCCTTCATTCGTCCAGCATCTCCATCTCTTACTTGATAAGGACCTGCAGAGAAGCGTTCTTGTCCTTCTCATCGTTGAAGACGTTGATGTTCCATTTCGGGTCGTCTACATGGTTGCGGTTAGAACTAGCATTTTCCGGTCCGGTGACAGTGGTTTGCGTATCTTACAAGTAGTGGGAATATTGAAGCGCTGAGGAGTCTCGCCAAACTTCTTGAGGTCCTGGATGGCCTGCTCATCAAGCTCGACTTCCTGAAAGTTCTTATGAATGCGAGAGGGAGTGACGGATTTAGGAATGACAGTGTGGTTGCCGAGGACCGACCAGGCGATAATAACCTGGGCGGCGGTGATGGTCTTGCCCTGGGCAGCGCCGAGACGGTCGGCGATAGCCTTGACCTCGGGGGTATTGACAAGCAGAGGAATGCTCCAGCTGTTGTTGCCGAAAGCGGAATAGGCGGTGATGATGATGTTCTTCTTAGCGCAGTATTCGATCAGGGGGGCGTTGGGAAGTCGAGGGTGACGTTCGATCTGGTTGACAGCGGGGACGACGCCGGTGGCGGCAATGACGCCCTCAAGCTAGACGGAGGAGCATTGTTAGTAACGTTATTCTGCCTTAGTTTGGCCATGTACGACGGGTTTAGCCATTCCCAGAAGCGCAAGGCATAGACAGACTTACATGCTCAATGCTGAAGTTGGAAACTCCGACGGAGCGGGCCTTGGTCTTGGGGAGCTCAGTCATAGCTGTTGTTATCACTTAATGTATTAGCGTTTTGTTCATGCGAGACACAATGGGGAACTGATTGGCTATTCGTACCCTTCCAGGTCTGTGAGATGGTCACGCCACGGTCGATGTCAACTTCGCCATTGGCAAGCTTGGGGAACTGTTCTTCGCCTGGCTTGAAGGCGACAGGCCAGTGGATGAGGTACAGCTAGTAGGGCATGTTAGCGGAAAATAATCGGCATGCGCACCGGTTGTCACTGTGTTCCTGCGCCTGTCCAGTTGCAACTCATATCACCAGCGAGTTGACTGGAGGTGCTGAACCAATGGACGACTGTAGAGCTCAGGAGTCAGGACTCACATCGAGGTAGTCCAACTGCAACTCAGCCAGAGTGTCGTCCAGCGCCTTCTCAACATCCTCTGGCCTATGCTTGTTGTTCCACAGCTTGGAGGTGATGAAGATGTCCTCGCGCTTCAGACCGGGAATTTCAGCGTAAGCACGCTTAATGCCCTCGCCAACCTCCTTCTGGTTTCCGTAAATCTTGGCCAAGTCAAGGTGGCGGTAGCCGGTCTTGAGCGCCTCGTAAACGCCATTACCGACCTCTCCAGGACCAGCCTGCCAGGTACCGTATCCAACACGAGGGATGGTATGGCCAGAATTGAGTTTGACGGTCTTGCCGAAAGACATTGTGCTGAGGTTTTTACAATGAGCTGGGCGAATTGCAAGGTTTCGAGTGTAGAAGGGGGGATTATTGACGCAACTGATGCGGCCGAGGAGCGTGATTCGAACCATTTAAATGAGGGGAAAGAGGGACGAAATCAAGTGGATACAAAGATTCATCAATACGCCGACAGTTGGCGTGCTGGCCCTTTTGGCCGAAGATGCTTGGTGGAGGTCATTGTGTGGCGATGGGGAAACGCCATCTTGTATTATTCTGGGTCCACGGTTCCATGAAATACGTCACGTCACTTGAAGATCAAGCAAGCGTCTTTGCGACCTCTGATGCGAATTATTAATTCATCTGGGGTCGGAAATAACATTGACAGCGGGTGTATCGACATGTTGTCTCCGTTGGTTCTGGTGGTTCCAGGGCTGGAGAAGTTCAGAATTGAAGCGCGGATGTTCGGCAAGTGACTCATTTGCACGAAATGTGTGGGGGAGAGTCAAAGATGAATAGTCCCAGAGACCCATTGTGGCTCTCGCCAGAGTCCTGAGGACCTTCTGCGGCAATCACTTGCATCATGGAAAATTCAGCAACATGAGATCACCGCGAATGATGGCGCTTCTCAAACCATGGAGGGGCAGTGAGGACCAAGAGTATCGCGAGTGGATGGAGGTGGGTTGAATGGCATCAACTCGGCACGGTGGGTCGGTGGGGTCTTCATCGGTGCGCAAGCCAACAAAAGTGTGGTGCACTTGTTGCAGGGCAGGGGAATTGGAAGGTATGGAGGGGTACGCAGGGGCGGACATTGCCCCGCCATTTAGAAGGAAGGGACGATCCATGACGAAGAGGGCACCGACTAATACGGAAATTTACTTGCCGTCTCCAACATACCGAGCCATCACCGACACCGACCAGTACGGCATCAATTACCCGCGGGATGAACAAAACTGACAGTATGACTCAAGTAAGTGACGTTGCTGATGCAAACAAGATACCAGCAACAAGCCTGAGCACATCGTCGGCGTCAGCCACAGGCCCACGGTGATGGCGTGGGGGTTCCAGAAAGAATCGACTTGCGGCACCAATCAATCAATAAGACCTTCCACCCTTTTAGCGAAGTTTGCTCAGAGCTTCCGTCCGGGCCGGGGGGGGGGGGGGGGGCGGG